ATTGTCTTCGCCCAAGTTTTGGCTTCTCAGTCCAAGCCAGTTCTCCATTCCTCCCACTCTTGATTGCAGTCATTTTGCCTTAATCCAGCAAAGGCTGTTTTTTCCCCATACAATTTCTTCATCTGCTTCCCCTACCTTCCTGTCCACAAGAAAACCATAATCTTTTTTAAAAGCTTAAAACCACAGCCCTTGCACAAAGCCCATTCCTGAGTCTATACCAGATTTCATCTTCAAAGTAATGGGAAGAATAATTTGAGCTTTTCAGATAGAAATAAATGTGCCAGAATCTCTCCCAAGCCTCCCTTATTGTTCTCCAGATGGCTGTCATCTCCCCACAGAGGCTGCTTGTAGCAGCAGCGTAATCACATGAACCTCAAGTGGCATGAGAACAGTCCAGGTGACCTCGTCATCTTTGAATTAAGAAAGCCCTGTTTTGGGGCAGGTTTTTTTGCAAAATACAAAATCTCTTCAATGGTTTCTCTCTAGTATGAGGAACTGATAGTGGCTCCCAGATCCTGCCCTAACTCTTCCTCAGTGGAGCTTCCTTTTAACTTCATTAAAAGCAGCATTACAAACTTCCTTAAGACAGACATAATACTTCACCTACCTTTTAAAATACAGTAATTGCTTTGATCCATGGGTTAGAGACAAGGCAGTTCCTGTGAGCCTTTGAAAGCAAGTCTACAGCACAAGCCTAGGTGCAGAAAAAAAACCTGAAAGTTGGGTCAACAAAATCCTTTAGGTGTATGTAAGGTCCAAACTATGCCTAATTTCCTTCAGCACGTTAGATTATACTGCATTTCCATGACAGCAGAAGCCGTTCAGTGGAGACATCTGCTTTTTATGCACAGTGTGTAGAGATTTCTTTAGCATAATTAGAAGAATATATGATATACAGTTTCATTTGGATCAAGGCAAATGATAACTCATAACATCCCTTACAACTATTTGGACAATTCAGATTTTGATGCCTGCGGAGTTTGATTTAAGTTGGCCAGGGAAGCAATCATGTCACCATGAAAGTTCAAGGGTTGTGCACAATGACTTGAGAGCAGTTAGAATGGGATAAAGCACCTGTGCAAGACTTCTCCAAACCTTTCCTTAGTCCCCTCCCACCACTTTGGGCCACATAACCAGCTTACGTAGTCACCAAAAAGGCCAGTTCCACATTTCTGAGCAGGTATTAACATGGTGCATTCACTTTCTTGGGACACATGCACAAAGTTCAACAGAGCAGTTAGAGACTGGTGATCCAGCTCAGCATCCTCCCGTGTCCACACAGCACAGCCTCCTGGCACTCCCGCAGACGTCTCCATGCTTCTGCTGGTGCCCCCATCCGCACCCAGCCCGCGGTGGTGCTGAGCGACACCACTCCCAGCTTTATCACTGTCCCTTCTACAGCGGGTGGCTATGCGTGGCTTTGATGCCATTTTTCCCTCAGGCAATCTAAAAATCAAACCAGTACCCAGCATCGTAAAATCAGCTTACATTTCTGAATGGGAGCTCAGTGAAGAACAGTCATGAACCATGAGCTTCCTGTGGCTTGTGCACGCGGCTGAGGAAGTCGTTGACACAGGTATGCTAAGGTTAATTAGTCCATAGGGCGCAACAGTATAATTTTGATTATTCATGTCAATAACATGACACTCATTATTGAAAAATAAAGATTTACACCAAGTGGCTTCCTTCTTAGAAAGTTTTAACTCGGACAGACAGAAGCCACCGTAGGCAGCAGACAGTGGTGGTGGTGAAGGTGGGGGTTAAATCCCTCTTCCACCTCAGTCTTCAGAAAACCACTCATGACCTGATTTCTATCTTCCTGTTCACAAAGGGCAGCCAGGACATCCTTTGCTTGTAGGCTCATTAAATGGGGCTCTAAGCTTGGGCCCTGAACTTGTCATTAAAACTCCTACTAAAAAACCACCCCCTGCTTCCAGTAAGAGAAGCAAAACACAGACCTAAAAGATACTCTTTATTCTGAAAGTGACTGACAACATCCAGAGGAGGAAAAGCAGCAGGGTACAGCTGCTTTTATAGGCACACATCTTCTACTGGAATAAATATTTTTACTCTCTGTGTAATACAGTTTATATCACAAGTTTTAAATCTCACAAGGTAGCTGAGAGCCATTGAACGGTGTTACAAGGCAAAGAGCGTGCAGAGGACTATTAATATCCAAGTGATGGAGAGAGAAGGGTCAGACAGAGGACGGCATGGACAAAACCTGAATCTCAACATTGCCATTTTACTTACTGGGGTATTTAAAAAAAGATGGGTGGATATAGCTTTTCTAGAAAGAGCAGAGCGATGAAGAGGCTGAAGATTGACTCTTTTCCTTAAGACCTAAATTGGAATTTAACCCATCTTTTGAAAAATAGCAAAATACAGCAGGAGCAGAGCCACTAAAATAGAAGTAGAACTGAGCTGGGCAGTTGTGGAAACACATCTTAAACCAGCAAGATACAGCTGAAAAGCTCAACCACGCTGAGACTGGGGCCCATTTTTAGATCATAACTCACACAATAGATGGGCTATTTATCATGTGCTGATGTTTTCTCAATAGTTTTTAAAGATTAAATATATTTTGAAAGAATTCATGTTGCTCTGACAATTTCATGAGAATAAAAATTGAAAGAACACAATTATAACTACTGTCCAAAAAGTTTGGTCAAGGTTTAGCATCAGACCACATGTACTGCACTACGGGTTTTCAGGTGACGACATGCAACTGCTCCTAGAATCTTCAGTCACTTACACTGCTATAGTTCACAAAATTGATTTTATTTAAATAACCGAGAAGAATTGATACATATTTTGTTGAGCACTTTAGAAGACAATGAGAGAGTCACTGCATCAAGTCATATTTTTAAATACAAAAGGGGAATTAGTAAAAAGCTAGGTTCATATCTAACATGAAACATGAACACGTTGCTTCCAGGAGCTTCGAGTTTTAAAGACTGAGAACTCTACTTACACCAAACAGTTCAGACACATCCACATCACCAAATCTTAGTATTGCACTACAGCTCCTTGTTCAAAACACACAATGTACAATGTGCATCTGCGTTACCCACACGTAAAGGACCATCAGCAACACATCAGCACAGCCAGACAGAAACAATCTAGAAAAGGTCAGGGGGGTTGTAGGTTTGCTGGGAGAAGGATGGCAATAAAATTGAGGAGCTTGGACCACCAGGGTCCAACACAAGTCCTGTTTCTTGCTGGTAATGCAACAGACATTGGGACTGCAGCTATGCTACTGTCCTGCACAGAGGTAGCATAATACTATGGCTTTAAAGACTTTATTTTAAATAAGGCTTGTCTTAGTGGAAAGCCATACAGTATCTGAAGAGTTCTTGTAATACTAGCCCCTAAGTATAGTACGGCAGCACTTTGGGATCCACTTGTTTAACCACAGCTGCCAAATTCAAGTAAGTGCCCTCTCTTTGACATCTGCTGCAGCACGTAAACAGTTCTGTGCAAAGATTTCTTCTTTTTCCCCCTCATCCTCAGCCACACGGAGAATGCGAACAGCCGAGAACACAACAGCGGGTGACACAGATGAATCAGAAAATGGAAGTCCTACCCAGCTATAAAAGAGGTCCTACTTTGTTTAAAAAGACAATTTGGCAAAACATTTCATTTATATGGACAAGACGGAAAAGTAAGTGAGCACATAACATTTGTGAAAGATACACACAGCCACTGTGGTGCTTAACCCCTCCTCCCCCCGTATCTAAAATTCAAGACATTTTAATGTTCATTGAAGGTCGAAGTCCCGGGCAGGGGAGATGATAATAAAGCTGAATACTACTCTCCCAAGTAATAAACCAGGACAGTTTTCCAATTTACAAACACTCCCCCTTCTTTTGTCAGCTCCAATCCACTTCAGCATCTTATCTTTAATTAAAATTAACTCACATGGTGTGTGGGGAGAACCACCATCTCACCGTATTTACATCTACCTCACTTTGGCTGAGGGCCTCACTGAGGCACTCGGGTGCTACTGTAAGACAAATAGGACTGTCTTCTCAAGTAGGGTTTGGAAAACGGCACAACTAATATTGCATCTGATACTACAAACACGCCAAAACAAATTCCACACATACACACATTACAAAACAACCTCTACAAACTGTTACAAAAGCTTCACTGATCATCAGTCCAAACTCCAAGACGGATTTGTTAGTCACTAAGACCAAAAAAACTGAGAAATAGAAATGAAACAAACATTTAACTTACATATCATTACATTTTGTAGAAAAAAAAAAAAAGTGTTAAGATATTATTAATTTATGAATACATAGAAAAATTCAAACCCCCTAACGTTTGCGGTACCCCCTTATACTAAGCCTGTTTGTAGTTTCTTTTCCATCAGTGCCAAGTAATTAATCCCAGATGTCAATGCTGAGATGGCTAACCAAGACATCTCAGGCTGAACAGAGCAACCTCTATTTTTCCTGTGAAGACACAGCCAGTGGCAGTGGCCAGCCACCACCTGGTACAGATTAACCAGACTCATTAAAAAAACCAAGCCCCCCCGCCCTTCCAGGGCAGAGAGCCCCGAGATGCCTCACTTAAACCCCAGGACTCAGATGGCTGCTCCCAGCAGAGCAACACTTCAGAATGCAACGTGGCCATCTCTTTTTGTCACCTACAGCGTTACACTGCCCACCCCTGTACAGTACAGGGCTAGCTTCTTCCCACTGCCAGCTTTGACTGCATTCAGTGCGTGTCACTTGTTACCCATGATAGAAAGTTTTTGTTCTTCTTGTTCCTTGTGTGGGTTTTTTTTTTTAATAAATAATGGAAGTCTACAACATGCTTTTTCAGGTACATGATTGCTGATGATTATACAACAAGGGGTCTGTAAACCAGACTGGCCTCTGAGGAATTGAGACGGTTGCGTTCAAAGAGCAGCACCTTGCGTTGAGCACAGCGAAGGCGGAGGAGAAGCCCTGCTGCAGCACGAAGCTCCCGCCTGCTGCAGCGGGGAAGCATCAGCATGAAGAATCTATAAGTCTTTGGCGAAGTTTTTTATCTTCTCTCGGACTCACGCTGCCACTTGCATCATGGTCTGTCAAAACTAAAGAGAAAGGAAACCTTTAGAAGTGAAAAGGCCATCAAACCGCTCGACATACTCTCATTTACAAAGGAGCTGCCACCAAGACAGTGGTGCAAGGCTGGCTGTCCCGTGCCGTGCCGGAGCTGCGGAGCAGCCCCCAGCCGCCCCCGCACAGCCCGGATGCGGCACCCAGAGGCAGGACGCCCTGCAGCCTCTCCTGCCCTTACGGTCCAGAGTCAGCACCTACCACCGGTTTGTCAACACAGTTACTAATTAAGACATGACGATGCCACCAGTGACAGAAGCCACAGGCAAAGCTTTGCTGACGGGTGGTGAAGTCTCCAGCTGCACCCTGGCAGGAGAGGGCTGCACCAGACAGAGCTGGTCATGAAACGGCAGCTTCTTTCTGCAATGCATTTTAAACATCAGATTCTTCTGCTCTGGAGGAAAACAAGTCTTTGAAGTGTTTTTGTGTGATGAAAACAGTCTCAAAAGTTCCTCTTTCAGATAAAAATGAGGCAGATTTTCTATTAGCTCTTCAAGCTCCTTGAGCAGAGACCGCCACCTTGGGCTCTTAAATTCTCCTACCAAACGCCACCCATCTGTCATTTCAAAAAGGGACACATTTAAGAAGAAAACTCTTTTCTGTCAGAATTACTCCAAACTGCTGTACTTGAGCTGGCTGCCGAAGTGCTGCTTGTAGTTTGAAAAGAATTCTGCTTGCTATTGTATAAATTGACTTCTCCAAATCTCAGCCTGCTTGACCAAAGTACAGAGAAACAATTACCCTCTGGGTGCTGCTGCTTCTTTTTTATTAAGCACAGGATACAGCTTTCTGAAGAGAAAGTAGATTTAATTTTTTCCTGCCTTTGAAACAGTTCTTTAACTCGCCCTCAGCATTGTGCTCGCCTACTCAGGTCAGCTGCTAAACGTTTTAAAGCATCTTCACTTCCATGACTGAAGGACTTTGTGAAGAGGCAGCCCACAGAATCTGAACGACTTTATTCAGGCGATGTAGGCATGCTGCTTCGGTGGGGACAGCTACCACAGCAGCCATGCTCACATCAAATGGAAAGAAAGCTTTTCCATCCCTTTATGCCTGTCCCTGGATATTTGGCTTCTCTTCCCTAGTTCTGCACTTGAGGACGAAAGTGGAATCACATTTAAGATTTACCATACTTTTTAGCACAGAATCTAAGACTACATTTCATAGAACAGCGATTGCTCAGAGCTGATCATATCTGCGAGCTGGTGGGAATATTCCAAGAACAATTGCACCAATCCCGATTGACTCAAATCGTTTGGGCCAAAATCACTTTACAGTCAATCTTCCTTTCTCTCTGTGTAAGAAGGAAGAGGAGCATGTTCACTGGCCCCAGTCCCACTTCCCTTCTTTTGTCATTTTCTGTTCCTCTGCCAGTGGCATTTCTGAGTATCAGACTTATTTTTACATTAATCTAAGATTTCTGCAAAAGCCTGAATGAAAAGCAGAAGCAGCAGTTAACTACTCTTCTGAGCTAATTTCTGAAAAACAAATTTCCTGAAATGACCAGTTTCTCACTGGACCTCCTTCAAGCACAATGTACTGTAGAACTGCTCTAGTGCTCTCCTGCCATGCAGGTGGTCTTCACAAGTCCAAGTTCAGGCAGCTGAAGCCTCTTACTGCTAGAGCAGAGATGTCAGCAAAGGACCACCAACTTAACAGAGACTTCAGCGTCAACCTGTGCCACTGACTTGCAGCACCAAAGTCTTGTGGCACACCTGAAGTCACAGCAGTTATACTGCAGACAGAATAGCAAGGTCTAAGCAGGTCCATTTTCTTGTAGAATATATTAAAATGTTTTTTGTAGGAATGTACACCTAGATGAAACCTGCTTTGTTTTGCATGAATGAAGTTTTGGCTTAATGGATTCCTTATGTCTTTGTACCAGCAGCTTTGGATGTGGGTTTGGGTTTTTTTTTTTTGATTTTTCTTTTTGAAGAAAGAGCAGGTCACCTTACCTTGTAGCTCTGTTGCATTTTTTTCCAACTCTTCTGTAGTGGTTTCTTCAGGCTTCTCCAACACAGCTGTCCCTGGCTTCCCATCCACGGTATCTGGCTTAATAGTACCAAGGTTTACCAAAAGTTGCATGACATCAAACTTCTCAGAAACTGCGATGTTCTCCAGCACTTTGAGGCATTTAAATGATTTAAGTTCACTCACGTTTTCCTCAAGGAAGAGGAGGTAAAGGCTTAAGTCATCAAAAGACTTTGACTTGAGTTTCAGAACATCGAAAGTTGGCAGGATTTCATACACCTTGAGAATACCTGAATTCCACCTCCATGGAACAAACATTGCATACACTACCAGCGGCATCACTAGAAGATACACCAGCAGGTTAATATAGCTGAGTACCTTGAAGACACCAACAGCAATAAGCTTGCACTGAATCACTTCTGGAACAGTTGTGTCATTCTTTAAGATCCCAGTTTTGATAGTGCAGAGAAACTCATCACTCAAAGAGGAGAGGCTAATGTAGTAGCCCAGGTAGAGGCATGCAATGAAAATAATTACTAGAGTGAGTAAACGGCAGATAATGTATTTAATTATTAGGCATTTGGAATTCTTCTTCGTCTTCAGGTACTGCTCCACAATTGGGTATTTAAAGTGGCTTTCAGATATTTCCCACAAACTGAAAGAGAGAGAGAAAAAAAAGAAAAAAACCAAATCACACAGATTAGCTGCTGCAGCACTCGCCTACCTCAAATTCCAAAGAAACCTATTGTTCTAAAATAGACACAAGATTGGGTTTGCTCTTACTGGGGTAAATCAAGGGTAGTTTTATTGAAGCCAATGAAAAAACAACAGAATAACAGATAAATTAATATTGATGCTCTAACACAGAAAAGCCACCTAAGAGACAGAAGAGCTCAAACATTGGAAAATGGGAAAAAAGGACTGCAGCAAAAAAATATTTTTGTTCTTTTCCAATACAAAACAGGTATAATAAACAAATCCACGAGGAAAAGCAGACTTCCCAAGCATTTGTTCAGTAACAGCATGCTGGAAGGCTTTTTACTTGTCAAGACCTAACTTCACATTTTCAAGAAGAGATGTAAGTCCCCACTGCATTGCTTGTGCTGCCACATGCAAGGAGAAACAGTTACACTGGCCTAGCATGAAGCAGAAACTCGATCTGGTTAGAACAGTGCACCAATTTGATCAGAGACAAGGCTTTTGCTTTTGCTGGTTTTGGTGTTTGGGTTTTATTGGGTTTTTTTCTTTAAACAGAAGCTTTGCAGACCTAGATCTGAAAGGACAGGAGATGGCAAGTAACAGACTTTCAAGACCAGGTTGGATGGGGCTCTGAGCAACCTGATCTAGTTAGCGGTGTCCCTGCTCACTGCAGGGGGGTTGGGCTAGATGACCTCTAGGGGTCCCTTCCAACCCAAAACATTCTATGATTCTATGATTCTATGATTCGACTTTGCTCACAATGTGCAAGTGACTGTGAAAAAACATTCTATGATTCTATGATTCTATGACTTTGCTCACAATGTGCAAGTGACTGTGAAGAACATTGAGAACCGAGGACTGCAGCCATCCTCATTTTCTTACACTGTGGTGGGTATAACTGATTAGCACCTACTACAGCTAAAGAAATCAGGACATCTCAGATAATTAGTAATCTGAAGAGCTTATCAGATGTTTTCTTTGAAAAAATAAAGTTCTAAGTTCCAGCTCCAAGCGCCTACAGTGATGATTTCAGATTGTCTTCTTTTTTTTTACCAAGTTGAAAAGTGTGTCAGGTCACTGTTCAAACCTTTGCAATAAATTTCTAAGAGAGTGCAGGTGTCACATCTGTTAAGAGCTTAAGGCAAAGAGCAAAGAAAGCCAAGGCCCAGCATCTTACCTCTGTGTCAAGTTCTCATTAACAGCTGGAACCAAGTCAGAAGGGTCCCTGGGGTCTCCACTGCGGATGCTATTAGCAGCTTTGATTGCCCTGTTATAGGCTTTGTCAAGTTCTTCCATAATAAATTTCAGGTCTGAAGAAAGGTGAGGTGCTGCAGTGAAGCGCCAGAACAAACATGGTAGATACAGCAGGATAGCGACCAGCAGAAGGATGTATGGGAAGAACTGAAGGGAGAAAAAATTCAGGTTAGGTCTACCTGTATATAAAATGTCAGCCAGTCATGATAATTCCCTATGAGCCTATTAAATTCCCTATAATTTTATTTAAATGCTTTTAGTAAAACCAACTTCTGTGGTTATTGGGGATATGCAGGGAAGCAAATTCTCTTTTCAGACAGCTTCAGTAACCTTGCTACTGCTTAGAGGTTTGGAAAAAAAAAAAAAAAAAAGGCAGAATAAAGTTACTGTGATCCCAGTAACATTTTCATTGCATATTCAGAACTGCACTGCTGGAGCTGAAATTGAGAGAGGCAGCATTAACCTGGGGAACAACAAATAGCAAAGGCAACCAAAGCAGCTCTCAGAGAGGCTGACTGGAAGAAGAGGATACTGTCACATAACTCCCCCTCCCAAATGTGTCACCACTGTTCATAGCAACTGAAATGCTCCAAACACCGGCAAAATCTCCCCTGCTCTCCATTAGCTGTCAGGAGGTTAATGAATAGACCGTTTTTAGTGCTGCATCTGCCTGAAACACACCTCTGTTCAGAGTGCTTCACATACAGAGAATGTAAAGGAGGTAACTATGGTCGTAATATTTAAAGGTATTTAAATAGTTTTAGATAACTCCTAAATGGAAACCAACACATGGCATCCAAATGGTCTGGTGTTAATGCAGCGCTGAGGAGTCAGTCCTTACACAGTCCCTAGTGCTTAGGGAAAGGGCTGAAGCAGGTACAAAACACAACGACTTCAAGTCTTTCCATCTTTCTTCTAGTCACAACAAGTAGGAGTTCTTCACCGTGAGATTTAACCTCTAATTCCCTCTAGCTGCTGGAAAGAAGGCATTTTCTATCTCCTGTGACATTATATTCAAGGTATACGTTCATACCTAACATGACATGATGCAAGATCTAGTCAGACAAGCAATTAGTTAACAAAATGTACTGCAAATTTGGCTAATCTCTCGTTCATTGCATTCAGTGTTTGATAGTAAACACACTTGCCTCAAATCCAGCATCAGTTCCTATGGAATTTTAAATTAGTTGTGGTGAACAGATTTGAAACAGCTTTAAGGCATCTTAAACGTTACAGCCACGCACGCATGCACATTCATTGAAAAAGCCAGTGGAGAATTTTAGAGGGAACCTGGACTGAAGTCATTAATCAGTGCAAGTGGAACAGCTCCACTTACATGTGTATATTTAACAAGATGAGAATCTGGACCTAATGTTAACATATTAACTTGTGTTTGCATTAATCAAGAGAGATTAAAGTTTTACATGCACAAAATAAATAATTTGATGTTATTGAACATTTTATTCAGGAAAGTTGCTTCTAATATCGCCTGCCATTAAAGCAAAATCCTATGTTATTATTAATACTAGGAATGCATATGACATATCAGCACATAAATAAACCTGACTTCTTAAAGGCACTGCATTAGCAACTGGAGACCATAATACAAACCATCGTTCTGGATGTGCACGTTCTCTACATAGGAGTCACATCAGAAATTTGTGACACGCAGTAAGACAAAGCCATGAAAAGCACTAAATAGCCACAGGAAACAGAGAATGCTGAATTTAAAGGTCAGCTTTCCCTCGCAATCCTTCTTATAAATTCATACTTCAACAGTTTCTGCTCAGCAGCAACATAATTGAACTTGCCCAGAATTGCTACTTCAGTCTCTAGATAAATCTTCAAGAAAGAAAACTTCAAGAAAAGCTCACTTTTAAAACCGAAATAGAAATCCTGCAGGGATGGGATAACTGGTAACTAGGTCGTTTCAGAAACCTAGTTAGCAAAACCAAGTTCGCTGTAATTATACTGTACATCCCACTAGAGGTAGCTCTTCCTCACCAGCAAGGAATGAGCATCAACCCTGTACTGCTGTATCATAGCTGTGGCCTGTCCCCTCTCCACTGCAGGGGACCAACCTCACAGGCCAGAGGGATCCAGGGGATTCCTTCTGATCTCCTGGGATTCGACTGGAGCATCTCTCCTATGAGGAAAGGCTGAGGGAGCTGGGCTTGTTCAGCCTGAAGAAGAGAAGACCAAGAGGGGATCTCATCAACACATACAAATATCTCAAGGGTGGATGTCATGAGGACGCAGCCAGACTCTTCTCAGTGGTGCCCAGCGACAGGATAAGGGGCAATGGGCACAAACTAAAGCAGAAGAGGTTTCAGTTGAATATGAAGAAAAACTTCTTGATTTTGAGAGTGACGGAGCACTGGAACAGGCTGCCCAGGGGGGTTGTGGAGTCTCCTTCTCTAGAGATATTCAAAGCCCGCCTGGACAATGTCCTGTGCAACCTGCTCTAGGTGAGCCTGCTTTAGCATGGGGGTTGGACTAGATGATCTCCTGAGGTCCCTTCCAACCCTTGCCATTCTGTGATTCTGTGATTGCTGGGGACCACTAATCTGCCCAGTACTTGCACTGAACCTCCAGAACTCTTACCTATGCCAGCAGCCAAGACAGCTCTTGAGTATAGTGCTGCTCTTATTCCTGAACTGCTAACTGCTTTTAACCAAACTGAGCAAGCTCATTCTCTCAAAAACATGTCCTTAGTGGCTGTCATCTCCCAGCTCTGAGCTCTACTTGCTGCACCCTTGATGTGATCTTTTCCCTACCCCCAGAAGCCTGTAGAAACTGTGCAGAGCTCTGCTCTCACTACCTGCACTCCTCCCTCTTTCTAGACAGCAGAGGATCTCAGATCATCTGGGTTTTTTCCAGTTCTGTCCTTTCCAATTGAGATGTAAAGCTCTGGCGTGCCCAATGTGTTTTTGTAGACACCTCGTCAACTCAAACCCAACAGCTCAAGAATCTGCTCTTCATATTTGTCTCTGTGGACAATGCCACTGGGTCTCTCAGGTCAAAGTCCTGGATGCCTTGGTCTACCCAAAGCTTTATGGCTTCATGGCCAGGCTCTTGCAGTCCTCTGAATTCTGTATTATGTAGAAATAGAAATTATCTATCTATGAACAAAGCTTAGACTTATCTAAGCTCCTCTAAGCTGCTGCAACACCTTTTCCATAGCCCTTAACAAATGCCAGCTTGTATAAGATTGCTGCAAAGCCTGTTTGACTTCTCCTACTTCTGTGCCATACACCTCTTAGCACCCTTCCGCTGGTGCCAGGCGGGGAAAGAAACAGCAAAGAAACATCTCATTTAGTAAGGAGTGGCCAAAGCTTCTTACATTGGTTTACATCACTTAGCTTTACTACTCACTCATTTGAAATTTTACAGGCATCAGAGCATTTATGAATTCCCTTTCTGACCCTCAAAACTGGAAACACCGCCAGCAGTATCCAATTAATCCTCAAGATCTCTTTACCCTGAGGCCTACAGGACACGTGGCAAGAAGCAAGATAGTTGGCACGCTGAAGTCACAGCCCAGAACCTCCGTTGCCCCAGTCCCCATCTCATAGAATCATAGAATCATAGAATCACTTTGGTTGGAAAGGACCTTTGAGATCATAGAGTCCAACCTTTAACCTAACCTTGCCATCCCACCACTAAACCATGGCCCTAAGCACCTCATCTAGCCTTCTTTTAAATACCTCCAGAGATGGGGACTCCACCACCTCCCTGGGCAGCCCATTCCAGAACCTGACAAACCTTTTGGTGAAGAAGTTTTTCCTAAGGTCTAGCCTAAGCCTGCCCTGGCGCAACTTCAAACCATTCCGCCTCATCGTATCATCTGTTACCAGGGAGAAGAGGCCGACCCCCACCTCCCTACAGCCTCTTTTCAGGTAGTTGTAGAGGACTGAACACAGTATTCGAGGTGGGGCCTCACCAGCACCGAGTACAGGGGCACGATCACTTCCCTACTCCTGCTGGCCACACTATTCCTGATAGAAGCCAGGATGCCATTGGCCTTCTTGGCCACCTGGGCACACTGCTGGCTCATATTCAGCCGGCTGTCAACCAGTACCCTCAAGACCTTTTCTGCCAGGCAGCTTTCCAGCCACTCTTCCCCAAGCCTGTAGCGCTGCATGGGGTTGTTGTGACCCAAGTGCAGGACCTGGCACTTGGCCTTGTTGAACCTCATGCAGCTGGCCTGGGCCCATTGATCCAGCCTCTCCAGGTCTCTCTGCAGAGCCCTCCTCCCCTCGAGCAGATCAACACTACCACCCAGTTTGGTGTCGTCTGCAAACTTACTGAGGGCACACTCAATCCCCTCATCCAGGTCATTGATAAAGATATTAAACAGAACTGGCCCTAGAACTGAGCCCTGGGGAACACCGCTTGTGACTGGCCGCCAACTGGATTTAACCATTGACCACGACTCTCTGGGCTCGGCCATCCAGCCAGTTTTTAACCCAGCGAGAGTACATCCATCTAGGCCATGAACTGCCAGCTTCTCCAGGAGAATGCTATCGGAGACTGTGTCGAAGGCTTTGCTGAAGTCCAGGTATACAACATCCACAGCCTTTCCCTCATCTACCAGGCGGGTTCCTTTATCCCTCAAAAAAGACTCCATGGGCATGTGCTGCACTTGTGTAGCACACTGGCATCAGCCCTGTTGCTCTACCACAGCCCTCCTCCAATGCCACCCACCTCCCTGCCTCATTACAGACTGCTGTCTTACAAAGACCAGCCTCTGCCATCTTCCCTTGCACCTCCTCCTCTCCCCAACTCCTTCACCACTGCCTCTTCACCCAGAAGCATCACACCACCAGGGCAAAGGCACATTTGCCACACGGTCACTGGGCTTCCCCTCACCAGGCTCTCATCACTCCCAAAGCCGTAGCTTATGGCAGCATGACAAAACACGATGCAGCTCTTTCTTTTCTGAATGGTCTCAAAACCAGAGCTGCAGCGTGACCATTAGTCCAGCTCTTTTTGTTTGGAAACAAAAGCCTGTATTTGTCAGCCCTTCCGCAGCACTTGATGAACGACTCCATCCTTCTCGGATTCTGGCTTTTTTAAAAATGAAAGATACGCCTGTTCTATTCATTAACAGTAGGCTTAGATAACGAGCAAATTGTTCTGAATCA